TCAGTTTGATTTGTGGCCCATTAGCAAGTGAAGGTTCTGTGAGCTCTTCTCTACTTGGAGGAGGCATTTTTTCCCCCAGTCGCATTCTGGGTCCCTTCCCACTTTCCAGTCCTCTAGCTGACAATGTTTCTCTGCTATTCATAGAGTTTTCAGTGACTAGAGATTCGGAAGTAGTTTGTCACTCTTTCTTCCTAGTCTGTCTTTGTTTGGAAGCTCATCAGAAACCTGTCCACCATGGGTGACCCTGCTGGTTATTTAAAATACCGGTGGCATAGCCCTTAGAATCACAGCAATTCAAACCACCACAGCACAACAGACAGACGAGTGGTGGTTGCATGGTTGCTGTTAAATAGGAATCTCCTTGTGCTAGGGCTCTTAAGTCCAGCTCAAAGGTGGGATTTCCATCCTCGGATGTCAATCAAGAGGCAAATCAAAACAACAACGAAGTATCATCTTATGCCAACATTGATAGCAAGGTTCAAAAAAGCAAAGAACAAACGCTTGGTGAGGGTGTGGAAAGTCTGGGACCCTCCTACATTGCTGGTGGGACTGTACAACGGTGCAACCATTCTGGAAAATGGTACAGCGCTTTCTCAGAAGGTTGGAAATAGAAATGCTGTATGACCCAGCAATGTCTCTGCTTGGTATATATATCAAGAAATAAGATCCATGACACAAATTATATATATATGCAATGCATATTGGTTGGGCACTGTAGGATAAGCACTGGACTTCAAGGTTGGCAGTTCAGGCTCACCAGATGCTCCTTGGAAACCCTATAAAGAGTCACTCTAGAAAGGAAAGAATATAGTTACCATAAAGCAAGAGGACATTGAAATAGAACATCAAGAAATAGGATCCTGCCCCTCATAAAAACACAAAAACCAAAAACAAGATCTTGCTTAGACATCACCACAGTCAAATATCCAAAATTTTCACTTACAATTCTACCTCCCTCCAAACATTTGCACATAATTCAGACAACTTCTTTGCCATTGCATATAAGCATCACCCTAAGGTACAGCTATTGGTCTCTTCCCATCCCTAGCAATGAAGAGTGAAGAATATGGAATATGCATAGAAACAATGAGTTCAATGGATTCATGGGCCAAGCAAACCCCAGCCTCCATGATACTGAGATCAGAAGAAGTAGATGGTGCCAAGCTACTACTACCAACTGTTTTGAAAAGGACCATATAGAAAGTCCTGGAATGAATGGGAGCAAAATGTGGAACAAAACTCAAAGTTATGAAAAAGAGCAAGGTTACAGGTCCGAGAGAAACTATGGCCTGGAAAGGAGTGCCTCATGATTGCTTAAGTTTCAATCAGACAATAGGGAGGTGCTCACTCAGAATAATCAATCCCTTGAGATGAAAAGGACAGCATTTATCTGAGGGCAAGGCTCAGACTAGTTAGTGAAAATGGACAAATAGAACCAGGAAGCACAGGAAGGATGTAGGATAACTGATGTTACAAGGTGGGGATTGCAATCTCTGACATAAAACATGTATAAATTGTTGAAAGGGAAACTGATTTGCTCTGTAAACCTTCACCTAAATCACAATAAAATGTATCCCTCCAATGTCCAATCACATGCTCATCATTTCCTTTAAAGCCTCCCCAGTAGCACCTTTAATATCCACAGATCTAGCAACGTTCTGTGGCTGCGACCATCTGTATTCTCTCTGGCTTGCCTTACTTCCTTCAGAGCCCTCACCAGAATTGCCTTCGACATTCATCATTTTACCAGTTGTCTTTTCCAGGCAATCGAGGCTTTTTACTATCAGCTTAACCCACTGTCGTCGAGTCGGCCCCCACTCATAACCACCATCTAGTACAGAAGACAAGTGCTCCATAGGCTTTCCAACACTAAATCTTCCTAGGAGCAGACAGCCTCATCTTTCTCTCTTGGAGCTGTTGCTGGAGTTGAACCACCCACACTGCGGTTAGCAGCCCAATGCTTAACCCGCAGCAGTCCCAGGGCTCCTTCTTTTACTACCTTGTAGTTGATAAATGCCGTCGATCGGTCCTGACTCACAGTAACCCTGTAGGAGGTTTCTAAGGTTTTAAATCTCTGCAGCAGCAGAAAGCCTCATATTTTTCCAAAGAAGCAACTGCTGCTGTACACATAGAATTGACCCTGTGATCCTAAGTCCAGCGCTTACCCTACAAGCCGCTGCATTTCCTGTTTTACTACTTGTTGTTCTTGTTAAGTGCCCTTAAGTCAGTTCTGAGTCACAGCAACTCTGCATAGGGTTTTCAAAGACCAGCTAGTAGGTTTGAACTGTCAACCTTGTGGTTCACAGCCCAGTGCTGATTCTAGAGCATTGTTTTTCCTACTTACTGTTGTTAAGTACCGTCGAGTCGACTCTGTCCATTAGCGACCTTGTATAGGGTTTCTGAGGAGCGGCTGGTGGGTTTGAACCGCCGAACTTGTGGTTCCAACCGACCTTGCAGTCCAGAGCGTATCCTATAGCACCAAACCAGAACATCATTCATGTTTTGTTTTTTTTTAACTACTTGTTGTTGTTGTTGTTGAGTGCTGTCGAGGCGGTTCCGACCCATAGCAAGGCACCTTAAAAACTTTTCTAGCCTCCACCTATTCCCCAATTGCAAAGCCATCTCCTCATTTTCGGTTAGATCAGCACCCTGTCTCAGGTACCAGATTCTGTCTCAGTTCCCTATTGTCGCTATAGCAGAAAGTTCACAAATGGGTGGCTACGGCAAACAGAAATTTATTTTCTCACAGTTGTCCGTTGTTTGTGGTTGAGTGCCGTCGAGTCTGTTCCGACTTATAGCGACCCTGCCTAAGGAGCTCTTGGTATCGTAGTGGTTATATACGAATCAGGCTGCTAATGTCACGGTCAGCAGTTCGAAGCTACCAGCTGTTCCGCGGGAGAAAGATGAGGCTTTCTGCTCCCGTGAAGATTTACAGCCTCGGAAACCCCCATACGGGGTCGCTGTGAGTCGGAACCGACTCCACGGCACATGAGGAGCAGCTGGTGACTTGGACAGCTGACCTTGTGGTTCACACACAGGCCAGTGCTGCTCCTACGGCGCTGCGACACCACAGGCTACAATTCCAAACTCCGGGTAACCAAATGTAAACTCCTTGCCATGGAGATGCTTCCGACTCATACATATCCAGAGGGCAGAGTAGAACTGCTTCACAGGTTTGCCGAGGCTACCAAACTTTATAGGAACGGACAGCCTCACCTTGCTTCTTCGGAGCGGATGGTGGATTCAAACCGCAGACTTTTCACTCAGAAGCCCAAATGATGAACACTCAACGCACCAGGGGCCCTAAATGCAGGGGGCTGGTTCTCACTGAAATCCCCACAACTATCACCAACATAGAACGTGACCATTGGAAACTGACTGGTGCACGTTATATGAGAGTGTCTTCAATGGTCTTTATCTATTGTTTGATGATTAATGTAAACAAAATTTGGATGTATAACTCAAAAGATGTGCCAGTTTAGGAATGATTTCAAATTCACCAGGTTACTCACGAACCTTGCATTCGAGTCGTACATTGCAACCCTGACTCTTGGTTTAATTTAAAGATTTTGGTGAAGAATGTGAATGGCTCTCTCAACAGATATGTAAGACTACACAAAACCAATAAACATTTGTCTTTATCAGTTGCTTCCTCAGTGCTATTTGTGGCTAAGGGCCATCAAGTCAGTTCAAACTCATAGCAACACTGCAGAGAGTTTCTGAGGAGTGGCTGGTGGGTTTGAACTGTTGACCTTACAACTAGCAGTCCAGTGGAACTGTAGACTCTATGCACAATGAAACTGTTTCCCGATCTTGTACAATTACAATGACTGGTTTCGGATCGCACTGTTATAATTCATAGGGTTCTCAGTCGCTGAATTTCAGGTGTAGATTGTTAGACCTGTTGTGTTACTTCGTCTTAATCAGGAGGCTATATTGAAACAGCAATACGCAAGAAGTCTCCGCTGACAGATTAATGGTGTAATCATTAACATGACTGGCCAATAACCGAACCTGGGTCTACTGCGTGAAATGAAAGGGAAGATCTCCATCATGGAACTGCCCAGTTGTTGAGTGCGGACAAGTTGATTCCGACTCAGCAACCCCATGGGACAGTTGCAGTGCCCCATAGGGCTTTCCGGGCTGCAATCCTTTCGGGAGCTGATAGCCAGGTCTTTCTTCAGCAGCTCCACCGGGTGGGTTCAGACCAGCCGCCTTTCCCAGAGCAGCCAAGAAAGAGCTTGACCATTAAGACATTTCCATGGCAAACGGCTGCCAGAAAACATGGCCACTCTTGGTTTAAACCGAAGCACACCCGTCACCACTGAGACTGAGTTCATCCCAAGCATGCCCTCTCATCCAGCAGCCTCACTCCTGGAAGTTAGGAAATGCAAGCCCACTCACCTGAGGGGGCACAACCCTCCTCCAGTGGCTCAAACGGTTAAGTGCTCAACTACTAACCTAAAGGGCGGCAGTGTGAATGTTCCCCGAGGTGACTAGGAAGAAGAGCCTGGTGATCACAGCCCATGAAAATCCTAAGGGGCGTAGCTTTCCTCTGAAATACACGTGGTAGACATGAGTTTGCACTCTGCGTTGTATGTACATTGGTGAGCGTGATCGCCCGTTCTGGTAAGGACAGATGAGAAGAAAACATGGCGGGAGGACAAGGCCCAGTTGAAGAAAGTGCAATAAAAACAATGACAAAGCCACTGGGCGGGAAGGCCCTTATCTGCTGAGGCTTCGCTGGTCACGTGGGGTGAGAGCCGAATGCCCAGAGGGAGTGGGCAGCTGAGCCTCCAAGACTATGGAGCGGCATCATGTGTCCCTCGAGGCTGGACGGGCCGCACTGGCATTTCATCCCCCATGCTGCGGGAGAGGGTGAAGCAATGGGGGAGCTTGACCAGTCCCACCCCTGGGCCAGCCTGTCACACAGCCCTCTCTGCAGGTGCCCAAACCTCCCTAGGCGACTAGACAGGCGCTTGCCATCAATGGGCTGGCAGGTGGAGACGGTCCACAGTGGAGTGGGCTGGCGCGTGGGTGTCCCTCTGAGAACTCAGCAGCCCTGCTTGGAGCTCCCGGCACGGTCAGTATCTGCCCTGCCCTCACATCCGCATGAGCCTCCTCTCAGGCCTGCTGGTCTCCAGTCTCTGCAGCCCTGGAGGCCACAGGTGCCTCAGTGGCCTGCTCTGGGAGGCCCTGTGGCACCAAAGCCCAGCGACTGACATCAGCGCCCCTCAGCTCCTGCCTGCTCTCGTCCCCCACCCCAACCCTCTTACACAACTGTTTGGGGGTGAGGGTCGGGACTGCCCAAGGGCCTTAGGGACACAAAGAGCACAACGCACCCCTCCATCCCTCCTTCCAGCCTAGGGGATCCCACAGCATTTCACAGACCTTACTCCCATCACACCCCAATGCAGACTCCAGGGTCAGGGTACCCAGCCCCGATCCCACAAGGGCGTCCCACGTGAGAACCACAGTAGAAAACACTCAATGAGATTTATTGAAGAGAAACATGAACATGAACTGGAACTGTTGAAGGGAAATGAATCCGAACAGAAAGGGGGCTGCAACCACCCCCAGGGGTCCCTAACCAGGAGCCTCTGCCACCCTCACAGCGGGCCCTCCCTCTGCCCCAGGGCCCGCCTCCCAGGGGACAACAGATTCTGGAAACATCGGTTGGCTTCGGGGGACCTCAGCACAGTCCAGCCCCAGCCCCTGGAGCGAGCCCCTGCCCCGTGGGCCTAGGGAACAGCCACAGAAGAACACTGGAAAACACGCCGCTGGGCACTCGGCACCAAGTCAAGGAAACGGAGTCGCCAACAGCAGCAGGGGTGGAGTTTCAAGCACAGTCCCTTCGTGGACCCCCTCAGCCCTCCAGGTCCATCCTTCTTCCTTCAGGCGGTAGGTAGCGCTAAGGGTGAGGGTGGTCACTCCCGTGTCCGCCGTCTTCCGGGGCTGGGCTGGGGTCTCCGGGGAGGAACGGCTCCCATGAGAAGGCACACCTCCACAGCAAGAAGCAACAGTTGGCTGCAGTCTACTTGGGACAAGCGGGCGTCGAGGCCCCTACCCAGTGGACGACGACGAAGAGGGAAGGGGGCATGGAGGCCGTGTCTCCAGGTGGCCCTGGTCTGGGTGCCCCTGGGCAAGCAGGCGTGGTGGCACTGCGTGGTGGGGCCGCGATGGGATGGGGCCCCTCAGAAGGGCTGAGAGGGAGGGGGCGGGCCCGGAGGGGGCTGGCAGGCCCTTCCCCGGGCCCCGATGCGGCCCTGGGGCCTACTGGTCTGAGGTGGACTCGAAGGACTCGGGCAGGCTCAGCTCGCCTGCCTCGCCCTCGTTCTCAGACTCCTCCAGGATGGGCTGGAGCCGCTCCTCGTCGTCGTCGTTGTGGGGCTCCGCGGCCTCCTCCGCCTCCATGGCTTCCGGTTCTCCTGCCTGGGCGAGGCCCTCGGGCCCACAGCCTGAGCCTCCCGGGCCGGCCCCAGGAGCGCTGCCCACCTGGGCTGGGGAACTGCCCACCCCGGCCCGGAGCGCCTCTGCAGAGCCCGCCTGCCCTGTGCTAGCAGCGGCAAGGACAGGGGCAGAGGCCTGGCCACTGCCCTCCCCTGCCACCATCACAGCCGCCTTGTCACCTTCTGCCCCGTGGTTGGCCCTGGCCTCCGCCAGCCCCCCAGCCCCAGCCCCAGCCCCTTCCTCTACCTGGGCCCTCTCATTCCTGAATAGAGTGGCCTCCCACGACTCGGACTCGCGGACCAGTCCCAGCATCTCCAGGAAACTGGGCGCCCTCCCGACCAATCTGAGCTTGCGCAGCGCCTCGTCCAGAGGCTCGATGAGAGTGGCCTTGGTGAGCACCTGCCTCAGGCGCAAGTGGTCGACCGAGGCTCTGGCCAGGGCCCCCTTCTCCATGGCTTTCTGCAGCAGGACCTCGAGCCGCAGCACGAAGGCCGACAAGCGCTCGCCCCGCCTCTGCTGAGCCGTCAGACACCTCAGCCGCGTGGCCGCCTCGGAGTCGGTATCCCCAAACACCTGGACCAGGGCGTCCAGGCACTCCTGCGCGGAACGCGCGGGGTTCTCGGCCAGGAGCCCGTGCACCAGCTGCAGGGCGGTGCCGCGCAGGCCCTCGAGCAGCCGCCGCCGCCTTTCCCTCTCAGAGACCGCCTGCCACACCTGCAGCATGTCGCTGGCGTGGTCCAGCCAGGCCTGGAAGGGCTCCTCGCCGGGGCCCGGCTCCTGGCGCCCGGAGAAGATGCCCAGCGGCTGGTAGCGCACGGTCTCCACCCAGGGCTGGACCGCCTGGGTGACCGAGCGCAGCCAACGCAAGCGCCGCAGCCCCAGCCCCAGGGCGCCCGCCACGCTCTCCACCGTCTGGCCCTGCTGCTCCAGGAAGTGGAACACGCGGCCCAGAACCTCCTCGCCAGAGCAGCGGGGCACGCACACCACGCGCCACGGACCCCCGCTGCCCTGGATCTCACGGGGCACCTGCGCGTGGTCCACATCCTGCGCTAGCTCCACCAGGGCCGCGGCGGCGTTCTCCTCCTCGCGGAACACCCGGCCGAGCACTGAGAAGCGGCCCAGCGGCCACAGCGCAGCCTCCAGGGCCTCGTGCACCTCGGCATCCTCGCACTCCTCGGGGATGCCCACCACCAGCAGGCCCCGACGCGGGCTCACGCCCATCCACCGGCACCAGTCGCGCAGCATCGCCACCGCCATGGCGCCCGGTGCGGCTCGGGTCCCGGCGCGGAGCAGGCCTGGGAACGCGAGCGCCAGAACAGGTCAGTGCTGCGCCGGGCCCTCCCTGCCCCCCTCCCCAGTCCCGCCCCGCGCGGCCGCCGACTTCCCCGGGGGCAGGAGCCTCCTCCCCCTCCCACCGTCCCCCCACCCCCCGGCTCCGTCCTTTGGGTACCTTGTCCCGGCCGCCGCCTTCTCGACAGAAGGAAAGCGGGGCTGGCACGATCGGGTTGCTGCTGCCTGGGGTCCCCGCGCGTCTCTCTCTCTGTCTGCCCTGCAAGCCTCTGGGCTCCGGGCCGTTCCCAGTGTGGTATGAGATCCCCGCGCCTGCTCCTCGCTGCGTCTGCAGTGCGGACGGGGGGCGGGGTCACGGCAGCGTCTGCGAAGGCAGAGCGCGGACCCCCACGTTGCCCTGGAGACCGCTGGGCCATTGGCTCGCGCGCGGGTCACGAGGCTCACAGCTGCCTCAGGCGCCCGCGCCCCAGACAGCCCCGCCCTCTAGGGGGCGCTGGCTCACCAGGGCCCCTCCCAATACCCCCCACCACCACCACCACCACCAGTCTTTCCAGCCCTGCAGCCCAGGAAGTGCTCTGGAGCGCAGGCGTGCACAGGTGGCCCAACCCAGAGGTGCCCTGCTAGGGGGCGCTGGCCAGCACTGTGCTCTAGGTGGTGGAGGTCCAGCTGGGGGGCCCTGGGACCCCCTAGCCCCTGTTACCTTCCCTCCCTCGCAGTCCCCACCCACGAGTGCTCTCTTCACCAAGCCAGGCGAGCAGAGGTGGGGTTCAGTGGCACTTACCCACTTGGGCGCCCACCGCACACACATGCCCTTGGCGCCCCCACCTCCCCACCACACACCCACAGAGGTGCAGACTTGAGTGAA